AGATAGTGCCGCCGCTGGGGTGGTCGATCTCCTCTCCTCCAACAAAACAAAGGAGGGGGGTATAAAAACGAGACGGCAAGTGGGGTGGAAAAGGTGGAGGCCAGGTGCTGGTGGGAGCGAGGAGACTTCAGAGATGTGTGAGGCAGTAGGCGAGCCGCCTGGTAGGTGAAGAGGACGGGGTAAGGATTCCTGTCGCTTGACCTCCTCCTCCTATTGCATGGTTCCTCCCCCTTCCCCTCCTCATCTGTTCCTCATCCTCCTCCTCCTCCTTGCCCCGCTCCCCTCCCGTCTCTCGCATCCTCCCCCTCCTCTTCACCAGCATCTTCGGCCTTCGCCCCCCCCTCTCCCCTCCCCCCCTCAGACCCAGCCTCCTCCGCAGCCGTACTGACCCACGCCAGAGCCACACGCTCGGTCTGGCCTCGGGCGCACGGGAGGGAAGAGCCACCGCGACCATGCCGCCCAAGGCCACCCAGGACGCGCCCTCCGCAGATGTGCAGGCGGCGCGCGCCAAGCTCAGGGCGCGGATGGGAGAGAACACCCGGACAGGCGGCGCGGGCACGGCCAGGCGGACGAAGATGACGAAGCACCAGTCCCATGGCGCGGACGACAAGCAGCTTCAGGCACAGCTCAAGCGCCTGGGCGTGAACAGCATCCCAGGCATCGAGGAGGTGAACATGTTCAAGGATCCGGGGGCTCGGAGGGGGGGGTATCAAGGGCGGGTAGGGTCCTGGCCTGGGCCAAGGGATCTAACAGTTTTCATGGCCCCCCCTGCCTCTCTTCCAGCACATCTCCTGGCCTTCCATCGTCCGCACATGCCTCGGTTCACCATGCGCCGACACCCCTCATTCTGGCCCCTCCCTCTCGCGCCCCCGAACAGGAGGACGGCTCCGTGATCCACTTCTCGGCGCCGAAGGTGCAGGCCTCCGTTCAGGCGAACACATACGTCGTCACCGGGCACGCGGAGAACAAGAGGCTCGAGGAGCTCCTGCCCGGCATCATCAACCAGCTCGGCCCCGACAATCTGGTGAACTTGAAGCGCCTCGCGGAGGGGTACGCCGCGGCGGGGGCCGCTGGGGGCGCGAAGGCCGCCGGCGACGACGAGGACATCCCGGACATCGGCGAGAACTTCGAGGACGTCAGCAAGAAGTGAGCGTGAGCGGCCACGGCTCCGGGCGGCCAGGTGCCCCTCCTGCCCGATCTCCCTCCCGCCACCGAAGGCCGCCCCCGTTCCCACCCAGCAAACCTCCCCACCCCTCCTCTCCCCGCACCCCCTGCCGATCCCCACCCCCCTCCCCATCGCACCCCTCCCTCCTCCCCCCTTCCTCTTCTGCTCCCTCGGGCAGACTTCTCCCCCTCTCCGCACCCATCCCCTCCCGCCTCGTCCCTCTCCTCTTTCCCCATCCCCTACTCACTGCCACACGGAGTCGCCAGGAAGCGAAGACACACATCGTGAGCTTCTCTATCGGTCACATCTCTCCGGCCAGGGCGCACTCCTCATTCAGACATGCACGCACGCAGGCATTAGGACCGAGGCGTTCTCTGACGAACAGGTGTTGGGCAAGGGTTCGGGCCAGGGGACGCCACTCGGGACAGTAGAGGCGCGGTGGATGGTGCTAGACATGTCTTTCAGGAGCACGTTTGCGCCGCGAGTGATGGCACGCGTGAAGATGCATAACCCAAGTTGGGTTTACCTGAAGGGCTGCACCCTGCACCCTTTGCTGCTGACACCCCAGGCTGGGCCACTGGGACAACTTTCAGAGAACCTCGGGGGCTATCTGGGGACATCTCTGGGCCTCGGCGGCAACAGTCGGGCCATCTTGGCAATCTTGGGGCTCATGGTGCTCATCTTGCGGCATCTTGGGGCCATCCTGGAGCTTTGTTGAGCCTTCATTGGCGATTTGCACTGCATCTTGACAGATTTTGGGGGCACCTCAGGACTGTTTTTGGCAGGCCGTTTTGAAGCAATAGTAGGGCATCTTCAGAACAGTTGTGGAACATTCAACAAAGCATTGGAACACCTCAAGGTCTTACATTCGTTTTGCCCTCTCGGAGGCGCCGTGGGGCCGTCCTGGCTCATCTTAGGGGCATCCTTGGGCTATCTGCGGACCGTCTCGGGCTCTCAAGTCATTATTCGGGGGCTATTGGAGCCGTTCTGGAGACTGTCTAGGCCCTCCTGGCCGTCTGGTGGCGTCCCTATTGGAATCCTGGGGCAATCTAGAGCGGACAGGATGCTGAGGGACACCCTCCACACATACACACACATACACACACTCACACACACACACACACACGCACACACACACACACACACGATGGTGAAGAGAGAATCTCAAACCCAAGAATTGAAGCCAAGATCCGAACTCGACGGCACAATCTCGACGATGCAATCAAGCAGCGGCGAGGCTACAATGAGAATGGATCGTGAGAGGAACAGCACTCGGATGGATGGTTCTCAGTACATGGCAGGCCGCTTGCGCTCGAGAGGTCACTTTGAACGCGCACTGCTGCTAGCTCCTCGGCCCCCGTGGCTTCGGGGAACGGCCTGAGCCCATGAAAACAGCTGCGAAGCAAGAAGACGTGCCTAGGCTCCTGCAGGCGACTTGACCCCAAGATCTCTCCCCAACTCATCCCTACAAATCGCAATACAAGGAAAACGATTCTGGCTTAGCAACTGGAGCTAGGCAGATACAAAGAAATTACAATGTCATGTGGTATCTTGTTATGCTGACCTAGCTACAATTTAGGAAAACTACAAGAACACGCACACGCACGCACACACACACACACATACACACAATCACACACACACTCACGCGCGCGCACACGCACACACATGTTGTGTTAGGGTGTGGAGGTCTCCCCCTAGTCGAGAGTAGAACGGAGACAGGACTGGAGAGGTAAAAGTCGAGAAGCAATCTACAAAGAAAACAAAACAACTGTCCAGCTCCGGTTTCACAGCCTTGCGCCCCCAAGGGGGGATGGCAGACCTCGTTGACCTCCGTGGATAATGGTGGGGCTCTCGGTGGCCTTCAGTGCACACGTTAGCGTTGTCACTTTTCTTCTAAATCATCGATCGGTGGACGGGCGGCTGAGAGGAGGAGGTCCTGCGACCCGCACGTATAGGATCGGATGCTCGGGGGTGATATCGAGGTGGAACGGAGAGCTCCGCACCTGGATATCAGTTTCGGTTTCAGGTTCGTGTCGTGCGTGCGGGCGAGGCGAACCTGCGTGGGCGGGCGAGAGGAATGACTCCGCTGTGGCTAGGGCGGGTCAAACGCCGTTGACCGCCCCTCCTCCCTCTCCGGTGGGCGGGCGGTGGCTGGGTTGTCCCGCCGTGGTGCCCCGTCGTTGTCCGCATTTCCCCCCGCGGTGGGCGGGCGGTGGCCGGGTTGTCCAGCCGTGGTGTCCCGTCGGTGTCCCGTTGGTGTTCCGTGGTTGTCCCGTCGTGATCCCGTCGTTGTCTTGTCGCTATCCCGTCGCTGTCCCATTTGTATCCCGTCGTTGTCCCGTCAGTGTCCCGTCGGTGTCCCGTTGGTGTCCCGTCGGTGTCCCGTGGTGAGATCGATCGTGAGATCGATAGCGAGGGCGATAGTGAGATCGATAGTGAGATCGAGCGAGTGAGATCGATAGTAAGACCGATGGTGAGATCGATTGGGATATCGAAATTGAGATCGATTGGTGCCCCGATAAGTGCCCCGATGGTGTCCCGTGGTGTCCTGTCGGTGCCCCGTCGGTGTCCCGCGGCTGTCCGTCGGTGTCCCGATTGGTGTCCTTTCGGTGCCCGTGGTAGGATCGATGGTGAGATCGATAGTGAAACTGATAGTGAGATCGATAGTGAGACCGGTAATGAGATCGATCGAGTGAGGTCGATAGTGAGATCGAGCGAGTGAGATAGATAGGGAGATCGAAAGTGAGATCGATTAGTACCGATGGCGTGCCGATGGCATCCCGTCGGTGTCCTGTCGGTGTCCCGTCGGTGTTCCGTCGGAGTCCCGTCGGTGTCCTGTCGGTGTCCATTCGGTGTCCCGTCGGTGCCCCGTGGTGAAATCGATAGTGAGATCGATAGTGAGACAGATAGTGAGATCGATAGTCAGATCGATAGTGGGATCACTAGTGAGATATACCTATACGACCACCCTTCGGGTGATAAGGAGGTTCGGGGGGGGGGGGAACCAACGTCTCACTCGATCGGTCTCACTATCGATCTCAGTATCGATCTCACTATCGGTCTCGCTCGATCGATCCCACTCGATCGATCTCACAATCGATCTCACTCGATCTATCTCATTCGATCGATCTCACAATTGATCTCACAATCGATCTCACAATCGATCACACAATCGATCTCACATTCGGTCTCAATATCGATCTCACTATCGATATCACAATCGCTCTCACAATCAACGTCATCATCATCATCAGCATCATCATCATCAACATCATCAACATCATCAACATCAACATCATCACCAACATCGTCATCATCATGAGAGCACCGTCACATCATCATCATAAACATCATCATCAACGTCAGCATCATCATCGGGACAACATCATCATCATCATCATCATCATCATCACCATCATCATCTCATCATCAACATCATCATCATCATCATCATCATCATCATCATCATCATCATCATCATCATCATCATCATCATCATCATCGGGACACAGTCGTCGTCATCATCATCAGCAGTATCATCATAATCATCATCATAATCGGGACACCATCATGATCACCATCGTTCTCATCATCAACATTATCATCAACATCGTCATCATCCTCGGGACACCATCATCATCATGATCATCGCATCATCAATATCATCGACATCACCATCATCATCATCAACAACATCATCATCATTGGGGCACCATCATCATCATGAGCAACATCATCATCAACATCGTCACTATCATCATTATCATCATCGGGACACCACCAGCATCACCATCATCATCACCATCATAATCATCACCATCATCATCGGGACACCATAATCATCGTCAACATCATCATCAACATCATTACCGCCTGGACACCATTTCCATCAACATCATCATCACCAACATCATCGGAATCATCATCATCATCATCATCATCATCATCATCATCGGGACACCATCATTGTCATCATCATCAACATAATCATCATGAGCATCATCATCCTCATCATCGGGACACTATCATCATCATCGACACCATCATCAACATCATCATCTTCATCGGGACATCCATCATCATCATCATCATCATCATCATCATCATCATCATCATCATCATCATCATCATCATCATCATCATCATCATCATCCTCGCGGGACACCGCGGGACACCGGCGGGACACCGCGGGACACCGCGGGACACCGCGGGACACCGCGGGACACCGCGGGACACCGGCGGGACACCGCGGGGCCCCGGCCGCCCAGAAGGGAGTCATTTGGTCCGGCCGCGCCTCAGCCACACGGGACACCAGCGGGACACCGGCGGGACACCGCGGGGCCCCGGCCGCCCGGAAGGGAGACATTTGGTCCGGCCGCGCCTCAGCCACAGGAGACTTTCTCTCGCCCGCCCACGCAGCTTCGCCTCGCCCGCACGGCACGCACGAACACGAAACCGAAATCGATTTCCCGGTAGGGGAGCTCTCCGTTCCACTTCGATCTCACCCCCCAACCTCCGACAGTGAGATCAGAAGTGCGATCGATCGAGTGAGAGCGATGATGTGATCGATCGAGTGAGACCGATAGCAAGATCGATAATGAGATCAATAGTGAGATCGATGGTGACCTGATGGTGTCCTGATTGGTGCCCCGATTGGTGCCCCGATAGGTGTCCTGATGGTGTCCTGGTAGTGTTTCGATGGTGTCTCAGTGGTGTCCTGGTGGGGTCCTGATAGATGCCCCGAGTGGTGCTCCGAGGGTGTCCCGGTTAGTGTCCCGATGGGTGTCCTGATGGTGTCCTTGTGGTGTTTCGATGGTGTCTCGATGGTGCCTTTGTAATGTCCATAGTGAGACTTGGGGGCGGGATCGCAGAGAACCCGATACGCCAAACGGTTTTCAATGTCAGTATCATTGGCCACGGGATCGACTGTGATGCCGCATCGTTACATTGTCATCGCAGCGCAGTGGTGATGGCTTTTATTCCTCTCGCTTCGCGGGGTGCACGTCCGGAGCACGTACAGTCCAGTCGTTGTCGGGCATTTGGGAACTTCTCTTGGAGGCCCCTTGGAGGCCTCTTGGGGGCCTCTTGGGTCCTCGCGGGGGCGTCTGGGAGGCCTCTTGGGAGCCTCTGGGAGGCCTCTTGGGGGCCTCTCGGAGCCCCGCTTTGGGCGTCTTGGAGGCGCTCTTGCGCTGTCTGGTCCCTCCGGAGACTGTCTTGGGGTACTCTTGGGCCGTCTTGGGGGCCTCTTGGGGCATCTCGGCGGCCTCTTTGGGCTGTCTGGGGGCCTTCTTAGGCCGTCGTGGGGCCCTCTTGAGGGCTTCTTGGGCCGTCTGGGGGCCACTTCGGTGGCTGTTTCGGCCGTCCTGGACCTCTGAGAGTCGCAATAGGCGGGAACGCTGAAATCTTCAAAAAAACGCTATTAGAAAATCAATGGTTTTTGGCTTCTGGAGGTGCTCTTGGGGGTCCTCTGGGGACCCTCTTGGGGCGTCTTGGGGTCTTTGTAGGCCCTCTTGGGGCCATCTTGGGCCATCTTGGGGCCGTCTTGGGCCGTCTTGGTGCCATCTTGAGCCGTCCTGACGCCCTCGTGGCCCCCCAAGAGGCCCAAGAAGCCGAAATCATCGATTCTACATACGTTTTGGTAGGTTCTGTCGCACCAAAAGGGGTCGCCAGGTTGGATCGATGGATGTGGCGTAGCCCCTTGGGGGGGTTAGGGGAGAGACATAGTAATGTAATAGAAGACAGTATGTAGCAATTATACAATTATGGGACACAATGGATACGTTGCATTATCGCCTCCGCAGAAAACGCTGCCGCTCAGCACGTCACCTCTGGACGTGGATTCCTCTCGCTTCGCGGGGTGCACGTCCGGAGCACGTACAGTCCAGTCGTTCTTGTGCCTCGTGGCAGCCTTGGGGGCCTCTTGGGAGCCTCTTGGGGTCCTCTTGGGGCCTCTTTGGGGCTTCTTTGGGGCCTCTTGGGGCCTCCTGGGGACGTTTTGGGCCGTCGTGCGGCGCTCTTACGCCGTCTGGCCCCTTCGGAGGCCATCTTGGAGGCCCCTCGCGGCCCCCTTGGGGCTCTGTTGGGGTCCTCGTTGGCCGTCTTGGGGCCTCTTGGACCGTCTTGGGGGCCTGTTTTGGCCGTCTTGGGGCCCTCTGAGTGCGTCTTGGGGTCCCCATTGGGTGCTTCTCGAGTCTTTGTGGGGCCATTTTGGAGGCTGCGTGGGCCGTCATGGGCTTGTCAGAGCCGAAAAAGGCGAGAACGCTAAAATCGTTCAAAACCTATAGGAACATTAATATTTTCGGCCTCTGGAGGCGCTCCTGTGGGCGTTCTTGGGGCCCTCTTGGGCCGTCTTGGGGGCTTCTTGGGCCATCTTTTGGCCATCTTGGGCCGTCTTGGGCCCCGTCTTGGGGCCATCTTGAGCCGTCTTGACGTCGGCGTAGACCCCCAAGATGCCCAAGGGGCCCGAAGCATCGGTTTCCCGTGGGTTTTTGTTGGTGTTGAGGCCCAGGAGGGGTCCACCACCTTTGGGTCGGTGGATGTGGCGTGGCCTGGGGCGGGGGTGTTAGGGGGGAGACATAAGAATGCAATACAATGCAATACCAAGCAATTATGCAATCGTTGGCTACATAGGATACGTTGCATTAGGGCTTCCGCTCCGCTGCGCGACCTGCCTCCGGCAACACGTCACTTCCGGACGTGCACTCTATAGGCTTACGCCACATCCGCCGACCCTTGGGGGGGGCTCCTGGGGGGCTGTTGGAGGCGTTGTGGGACCTTGTTGGGGTTTCCTGGTGGCTTCCTGGGACATCATGGGAGTTGATTTGGGGCAAACGTGGGGCGTCTTTGAGCGGAAGGCTGGAAATTTCCGTGCCGGTGCCTTATTTGGGCCTTGTTTGGGGGCCGTCTTGGGGCCTCTTGGGCCGTCTGGGGTTTCTTTTTAATAGTCTAGGGGCCTTCTTGGTCCGTCTTGAAAACTGCCTGGGGGCCTTTTGGGCCGTCTTGGGCGCACCGAACACCCAAGAGGCGGATGTGCTTGAAATATACGTTTTCCGCGGGGAGTAGGGCGTTTTTCGTTTCTGGGGGCCTTCTTGGAAGACCTCTGGAGGCCATTTTGGGCCGTCTGGAGGCCATCTTGGGCCGTCGGGAGGCCATCGTGAGCGTCTTGGACAATTGTTCGGCGACGATGGGCCCTGTGGGCCCGTTTTGCGGACCTCTTGGAACGCTCCAGGGCTTGTCTTGGAGCTCCAAAGCGAGCCTGGGGAGGGCCAGACCCCCCCTGGTGAGTTCGGCCAGTGGTCATGCGCGGCCAAAGGGGGGAGGCAAATTTCTGGTTTGGGGTCCCAGGGGGGGGGGGCTTATGGGGGGGGGGAGAATCTCACACGCCTAGAGACCCACAAGGGGTCGGCGGATTTGGCCCGATAGTGTTCCGACGGTGTTCCGATCATATTCAGCACTACCGCCGTTGCTGTCGCCGCCACACTCATCACCACTGCGGCCATCACCTTGCCACCAGCAGCCAGCCATCACACTTAGCACCAAGCATCACAGCACAGTAGTGGTGGCATTTGTTTGGCCTCATGGTGCCCTGGTGGTGTCTCGATCGTGAGGTCGATCGAGTGGGATCGATAGTGGGACCACGTCGCGACGCAGCATCGTCACCACACGTCGTCGCCAACTCGAGGGCGCATCACCAGCCTCGTCATCATCACCGCCATCGCAGTTGTTGTCAGTTTTCTCCCCCCGCCAAACTCTTTATCACCCGAAGGGTGGTCGCATCGGAGGTTGGGAGGTTAGATCGCAGTGAAACGGAGAGCCCACCACCGGGAAATTGGTTTCGTGTTCGTGTCGTGCGTGCGGGCGAGGCGAAGTTGGTGGGCGCGCGACAGGAATGATGCCGCCGTGGTTTGAGGCTGTGGAGCCAGTTGTCCGCCCCTTGCCCCCGCAGCGCGCGGTGGCCGGGGGTGTCCCATCGGGTGTCCTGTCAGTGGCGCGGGGTGCAACGTCGGTGGCGCGGGGTGTCCCGACGGTGGCGCGGGGGTGCCCCGTCGGTGGCGCAGGGTGCCCCGTCGGTGGCGCAGAATGTCCCGACGGTTGCTCAGGGTGTCCCGCCGTGGTGTCTATGGTAGCTCGTTAGATCAGTTGCGAGATCGATAGTGAGATCAATTGCGTGATCGATCGTGATCGTGAGATCGATTGTGAGATCGGGAGATCGATAGTGAGATCGATCACAACTGATCTTTGGTTGCGGGTGCCCCGCCGTGGCTGGGGGGGGGCCCATCGTGACGTCCCGATGGTGTTTCGTGAGACCTCTTGTGATATCGATATGAGATCGATAGTGTGACCGATAGTGAGGTCGATGGTACGATCGATATCGAGAGCTTTAGTGATATCGATGGTGAGATCGATGTTGAAATCCGTGACATCTATGGTGAGACCGATAGTGAGATCGATGGTGGTTTCGGTTGTCCTCCACCTCCCCAACCTCCTTATCACCCGAAGGGTGGTCGTATAGGTAAGTACGTATGTTCGGTTGCAGCCTTGATTCCTCGCAGAATCTCAGTGGATCAAGACCATTGGCAAGAGGAGTGACATACCACCCCAAGGAAAACCACTAGCTGAGGGCATACTTTCTTCCCAGAGTCGTCGTTGGCTGTGTGCTGTTTTGGAGGGCATCTTCAAACAGCATTGCGCCCATCTAGGCTACCCATTCACTCAGGATCTCCACTGATGACCTAGGTTAGTGATTTCGCGAGCCTATAGGTGACCGCTGTCTGCACAGATACAGTTGTCGGAGCCGTGCCAGAGTTCTGCTCGGTGACCGGAGGCGGCTGGCAGGGACCAACCATGGCCGCTTCGATGCCGAGATGCCGAGGCACAGGAGCACGGCGTGGACGACACTGCTTCGCTGATCGATCCCATTGCCCATTGATTTCTCCGCAGGATCGGCCACGACCAATGGCCAGCGCGATGTTGTCGCCCGCCCGGCCCTTCCGGCTCTGGCAGGCAGTGGTCCGGGAGATTGCCGCGGCGCTCGGCGTCAAGGTCCACTCCACCATGCGGACGCTCGAGGCCCCCGCCAAGCAGCACGGCAGGTGGCGCGGCGTACTTTTGTCGTCGGTTGGCGCGACGGTTCTGAGGGGGGAGGGGCGGGGCAGGGGGCGGGCTAGGAGGCAAGGAGGGCATGGCCTCGGTTCGCTGGGGGTGCCCTTGGCCGAGAAGTTGCTTGGTGCCCAGCCGTTTGCAGCCTGCGGCGGACTGGAGCGGATCCGCGTGGAGCGGGGAGGGGAGGGGAAGCGAGGGAGACGGTAGAGAGGACCCATTCGTGGACACTCCTTTTCTCCCCAAAGCACGCGCGGGCACGACTGCGGTCGAAGTGCAACTCGGTCAACCCACCTCCAACATTGATCATTTGGGGGTGCATTGACAGATGAATGTGACATGAGTGCTCGCTGATTTCTTCCGGGGCCTGGAGCATGGTCTTTCCCTCACCCTCGTTCCCGTCCCTATCTGGCTCTCGTCGGTATCTCTCCTACAATGGGGGGCCCGCATTAAGAAATCATATGCTTTTCGTCAGGGCATCCTGGCTTTCTCTGTTCCGCGAGCTGCTTGGTGACTCCCCGCATCAGTTGAAGAAGCTGCTACGTTCAGGGTGCTCTGGGTCTCAGCTGCACCTCGCGCGCGGGTTTTCAGGGTTAGGTTTCTTGCGAGGGTTTCTTGCGGCCGCGCCCGCATTGTACTCGCTTCCCTCGTGCTCTTTCGCCGCTGCCCTGGCGACACGCTGCTGTGCCAGCTCCTGGCCACTCCGCTCGTCTGCAAGGAGGCCTGGCTCCCAGCCCACACGGCCGGGAGAAGGCTTTGCAAGATTTGGCGGAGGCGGCGTGGTTGCAGAAGTACCCCGTGTCGAACAAGACCATCAGGTCCCACTCTCAACGTCAGCGGCAGAGTCTGGTATGGAGGAGGGCGGGAAAGAGGAGGGAGACTTCGAGGGAGGAGGAGGAGGAGGAGGAGGAGAAGGAGGATGAGGAGGAGGAGGAGGATGGAGGAGGATGGAGGAGGATGGAGGAGGATGGGGCGGAGAGAAAGTGTTTGTGTGGCCCGTTGGGTGTTTGTGTGGCCCAGTGGGTGTTTGTATGGTTAGAGGTGCTCCGGACCTTTGAAATCCTCGGGTACGGCAGACGGGGGGTTTAGCTTCCAGGAGACCCAGACCCCTCCCCTTCATAGCCAATAAAAATGTATGACGGGCCTCTTAGGGCACCTGAAGATCCTACTTGGGGGGCTGGCCTGCAGGAAGAGACCCAGACACCCCCCCTCATAGCTCATGAAAAACGGATGACGAGCCTCTTCGGGCTTGTTGGGGCTGAAGATCTTGGGAGGCTAAAGAGCTCCTTGAGGGGGCTGAAGAGCTTCTCTTGACCTCTGGGGAGCTTCTTGCGGCCTCTACAGGGTTATTTGGGAAATTCGAAAAGCTGATTGGGGCCTGGGGAGCTTCTTGCGGCCTCTCTAGGTTATTTGTGCGTCTCGATTCGATGATGTTGTTGTTGTTGATGATGATGATGATGCTGATGATGATGATTATGATGATGGTGATGGTGATGGTGATGGTGATGGTGATGGTGATGATGATGGTGATGGTAATGGTGATGGTAATGGCGATGGTGATGCTGATGATAATGATGATGGTGAGAATGATGATGACGCCTTGCTTACGGCATCCAGAAGCCTTCAGAGGTGGGCCTCGAAGCAGAGAGTGACGAGTGAAGGGAGAGAGGGACCTACCCTGGCTTGTCTGTTTACGCACGTCAGCCCGGTGGCTCGATCACCTGGTACATACGACATGTTGGGAGTTTGTTGCGCCCGTGGGGAAGAAAAATGATCCAGGCCTACCCCAGATGAGTTGTGAAGACGACGAGGACGACGAGTATGCTCCTGCCAAGGGGAGCCATTTTGATGCACCGAGGCGCTGGGCGCAATAGAAAGTCAGAGTGCGTCCAGTCCATTTGAAAACGATTTGCAGCCGAGCTTGCTGTGAGAAGGGAAGTGGACGAGCAGCATTGGGCTAGCAAGGTGGGAGCAAGCCGAGTCGCAGAAAACGATGGTACATGCGGAGTCTTCTTGGGGCACCCTGGAGGCATCTCGGAGCAATGCTGGGACTCTGTTGGGGCTCTCTTAGGCCTCTCCTGCACTGATCGATGTTTCACGGGCCTTGTTCCCTCAGCAGCCACGACATAGGCATCGTGTTGCTGAGCATCGTGTGTTGGACCTTTGGTGCCCTCTTTGGGCCAAGCTGGAAGTCCGGGGCAACGATAGGAGGGGATAGGCTCAGGGGGAAATGCATCGACACCAAATCGCCCTCGCCGAAAGGACTCTTATAGCCCCACCCCGTCCAGGAAAGTTCGAATTCGCCATCTGGGGCCTAGCGCCGATCGATTTCAGGTCGATGTTTCCCCCCCTGTACCAGTTCCCCCCAATCGTTGCCTCGTGAGGAAGCCGTCGATCTAAAAGGGGATCCTCTATGACGCCCTTCCAAGGTGTCGGGTGGCCAACTTGTCATTTTCTGGTGCCCTGTCGGCGCCACGTGGGGCATGTGGGGGGGGCTCTGTTTCGAAGGCGATCAGGTCCTCTTGGGTCAGGCCTCCGAGGCCCATCGGCAGCCTACAAGGCGAGAAGGTAACATTCACTGAAAGCCATCACGTTATGTGAAGATGTTGACCTCTCGATGGCGTCCTTGGGAGGCTCCGCGGCCACCTCAGAGATGCAGTCAAGTTTGCGTGGGACATCTAGGGACCACGCAGGAGGCCATGGTTGGAGCCAGCTTGGGCATTATTGCCCCGCTGTGGAGGCTGCATTCTGCTATCTGAGGCCATCTTGGGGCCAGCTTGGCCATCGTGGACGACCCACCCCTGACGGCACCTTTCGTCAGACCCTGGGAAGGATAGAGGAGGGGCAAACAGTTCCTTGAAAGGAAAGGAAGGATTTTATTTGGAGGAGCTGATTCGTGAGTTGGGGCGCCCAACGGACTGGATTGGTGAGGCCTGCCCATCCTGGGTAATTGCTCGTTGCGGCCTTCATGTTGCGCCGTCTCGTTCAGGCGCCTGCCTCCCTGGAAGCCGGATGCACTTGGTGCGGCCAGTCTGGTCGAGAGATGGACATCCCTCACGGCCGCATGTCTTTCCAGCGCTCGGCCCTCGTGCGGCAGGCACAGTCGGACCGAGGTCTACGATCGAGGTCGCTTCGGGGAGGGCACCCTAACACTATTCGTGGTTGTTGAATGTTCTTGTGCATCCTGGAGCGAGGCACCCTCGAATCTCGTGTTCTTGAAGGATAATGCTCTTCTGTCCTGGTACGCCGCCCCCCGTGCCTGTGCACCCGGCGCGCGGCCTCCGCGCGCTCCGCGTGCGAATCCAACTACGTGCTCCCAGCTTCCTGGCAGTCCTTCGGGAGGGACGAGGGTCGGGGCTCAAGAGACGGGGGTCCATGCAGACGGGGGTCAGCCAGAGCACCGGATCTTGCAGGATCCTGCAGAGCCAGGGGTGCACTGACCAGGGCTTGGGCGCAGGATCCTGCGGGGTCCTGCGGAGTCTTCCAGAGCCTGGGTTGGCCCGAGCCTGGATCGACCCGGGCCAGCAGATTCCCGAGAGGGTATCAAAGACGCGCCGCCGTTGGGAGCCCCCCATCAGCCTGTTGCGTATTATCCCGCTGCTGCCTAAGAGGCCTGATGCATCTGCAGCAGTAGCACGCTGATGGGTTCACCACGGCGGCGTGTCATTGACAACCGCCTCGCTTGGTTATTGTTCCTGCTACCCGAAGATTGCTTGCCATCGTCTGCGGATCCCCCTCTGCAGCTCGGCTTTGCAGATCGGGCGGCCTTGAACGGCGAGGTCCTCGCTGTGCAAGAATCTCGACGCCCTGGCCATGAGGAGGCACGCCGCCCCAGCCTCAGAGGCGCCCGATCGCGCGGGTCTGTCCCCGTAGAGGGCCCCAGCTCAGAACGGGAGCAGAGGGCTCGGGCTTTGCACGGTAGGCTCGTGTCGTGTCGACGCGGCGGCGACCCCAGCGCGGGCGCTTAAGGATGAACTCCACTAGTAGCCCAGGATCGGCCGGTATGAAACGATTTGGCAACCGAAATGGCGCCGATCGCGCAAGGTTGAACGAACCACACGGTGCCAGGAAGCAGCGCTAGAGTCGTCTCGGCACGAACATGTCGTGCTCATTTTCGCGCTCGGGAACCCCGCACGATATTTCAAGGAATCATCAAGGAAAACATATTCTTAACCTTAATAACATAGCCAAGGCGTGGCTTCACTGAGGTCCCCGTCTGTGCATTAGGTGTCGCAGATCTGGGCAGGTTGGTTTGATACATCTTCACACAAGACCCCCTTATCCCTGATGTTTTGGGCCTCCTAATTTAGGTCGCCTCCCAAAGGGTGTTTGGGGGAATACCGCAAGCCCCGTCGCCGTGAGGCTTCTGCCGTCGGCCCAGAGCGCTGCTGGGGCCCAGGCCGCCCTCGGCCCCTCCGAGTCGAGGTCGCCGGACAGAGGCGAGCAAGATCTGCCGGGCGCGCCCTCTGGCGCGGGCGCGGCAGCTTGTGCACGGGGGGGGGACGTGGGAAGGGGCGAGCCTTCTCACATGGCTCGGAAGTCCCCCGGCCTTCTGAGAAGTTGTCTAACCCTTCCCCGAAGACAGAAGACTTCTCAGAAGGCGCGAGGGCTTCTAAGAAGTCCCGCCGCCTCTTGAGAAGGCATTCTCCTTTCCACTTCCCCCTCTCGCTCGCCGCCGATCCCAGGTCCCCACCGCGCCCAAGCAGAGTTTGTACATGCACGACTGCGCATGAGCGCTCCCCGCCGAGAGTTAGCACCCAGCTCGACGGTAGTGCCCGCCTGCACGCGTCGCGAACGAGCAGCCCCGAGTCTGATTCAAAGAATTGCATTAAGTTTAAAGGTTCGGAGCTCTGCGCGAATTTCTCGGATCGGCGCTGGACCACCATCCCTGGCGCGCGGAGCGCGCCAGGGGCGGCGTCGGAGGCGCCGCCAAGGGCGCCCAGCGCCGATCCAAGAAATCCGCGCGGATCTCCGAACAGTTGTTTGTGCCTCTATGGGAGGAGCGCTGCTATCTTTGGAAAGTGGTGTGCTCCCATCACTCCTGCTGATCTGGGGTTACTCGTGACAATGATTGTCCGGAAGTGCGCATTGATGATTGCGCTTTTTCGGCTTGCCACAGGAGTGGAAAAGAGGGTGCTGGCGCGCCCTCCTCGGAGCCCATCTGCATTTGAAGTACGGAGCGTGCCGCGCGATGGCAGGCGCTGCCGCATCAGGTGCCGTTCAGGCGAGTGCCGGCGTCCGCTGTGCGGTGGAGAAGATGAACGCGGACAGTGGGGGCTCCCGCGGCGCGATCAGGCGGTTCGCCGGGATCGGAGCCGATGAATGCAAGGACTGCCGCTTTTGGAAGACATGGGCGAGAGAGTAGCTCATCGTCCAGCGGGCGAAGGATACGCCCGCGACGGCCCTCGGGCCGATGCTATTCATTTTGCTCGGCGACGTCGCTGCCCCGGCAATGGAGATCGTGGACATGGACGACTTCGAGCAGGATGGCGGCGAGGCGCTGATTTTCGAGACCTTCGACAGCCGATTCTCTGACGTGGCAACTCACGACAGGCTCGGCGAGGCTCTGCAGGAGTTGTTTTCGATTCGCCTGGCCGAAAACGAGTCAATGGCAGCCGACAGCGGTTGGGCGCCGGCGCTGTTCGCCAAGGACGATTCCGAACGCGTGGTCCTCCCTGACATGGCGTGCGGTTGCCGGCTGCTGCTGGGAGCCCACATGGCGCTTCATAATATTGCGGTGGCCGCGACGGCGTCCTCACGATCGTAAAGGACGTCGAGATGGCACTCAGGACGACACACCCGAACGGCATGACGGACCTGACTCAGGGCTTGTCAAGGAAGAGGGTCATACGGCGCCCAAGTGGCGGAGGGGGATGGCGCCGACATCGTGGACATCGAGCCCCTCCTTGCCAGTTCGACGTGGACGAGAACGGCGGCGAGGACATCCTGGACGAAAGCGAGGCCGTCGAGATCCCGGTGAGCTGGTGGGACCAGCGGAACAATATCTCGAAGGAGTGGTTGGCGCGAGGTTTCGGGCCGAAGAAAGCAGACATGAAGGCGATGACCAAGCGTGCACGTTGGTATGACTGTGACGAGGCGGGCCACTTCAGCAGGGACTGCAAGAAGCCGCGCAGGCAGCGGCGGCCGCCTCCCCGTGACAGGGGGGTGGGCGTCTGGCAGGGGTGCTCCGAAGCGAGGCGATGTGGCCACGGTCATCGGCGACAACGAGGACGAGGCCGTCTCCATCGCGAGCGAAGAGCCGACCGACGACGAGCCCCATGAGCGCGACCTGTGCGAGGACGCGTTCCAGCAACCTCTGATTGACATCGACGAGTCCTGCGAGTGCGACGAGGCATGCGACTGCGAGCTCACCGAGGTCAAGGACGAGCTGGAGTTGGACATCGACGGCCCGCTCGAGGCGCACGCGGCGATGCAGGGCGACATGGGCGAGGTGATTGCCGAGCCCTTCGCCTAAGCAAGGCACCGATGGAGGCGGAGGCGACCGAGCTCTCGGCCACGATGGCACGCGAGCCAGGCCAAGGCGCGGTCGACACCAGCCGCGGCAAGGGCGTCTTCGGCGAGGAGACCCGAGCGCTGCACAAGGCAGAGATGAAGAAAGTCCGCCTCGAGGTGAAGAAGATCCAGCAGGAGAAGTCGACGACGTTGAAGTTCGGCAACCAGGAGACGCTCGAGTCGACCCATTGCGTCGAGATCCAGCTTCGCGTCGGCGGCAGGTCATTGTCCTCCGGCAGCGCGCTGTTCCAGGTAAGACCCTTCTGGTGGTGAGCAAACCCATGCTCGAGGCCTCCAGCGCTGTGCTGGACTCGGAGCGAAACGAGATCCGGTTCGTTCGGATCAGCGCGACAGAGCCGCTGAAGGTCGCCGCCAGCGGCCACTATCAATTCAACCTGCGCGAGGCGAGGGGCGAGGGGCGCAGGGAGATCCAGACGGTGGATGTCGACGCGATGGCGGCAGGGGATGCGGAGGCCACGGAGGCGTTTGTCTCCGCGACGACGGCGGGTTTTCGCTAGGGCCGAGCCGGAGCCACAGGCTGGCGCCGACGTGGACGGCGCCGGCAAGAGCCACGACGACGACGACGTCGACGAGATCTAGTACGACTGCGACGACACCGAGTCACCGATGTTCGCGGGCGGCGGGCGCCACGGACATCGCGAGCCGGCGGTCAAAACCTGGCGCGCCCGAAGGCGCGCTGGCAGGTCGGGCCCAGTTGGGCCATCGACGCAAATTTTCTGAGCTCTTCTCCGTGCCGAGGGCGGCCCCAGTCATGGAGCCAATGGACTTGCAGGACCTCGGCGCCTTCGACTTCGGGGGCGGCCACGGCGCTCGGCGAGCTGCGGATCGCCGCCAGGTCTTGCGCCTGACTGTCGCTAAAGAGCAGGACTACGCGGGCGCGGGCCCGCCTCGCGGGGCTCCGTCGATGAGGGCCTCGCCGTCGAAGGGGTCCGTCGGGGCCCCGCGAAGTGCCGTCAGGCAGTCAATGAGGCGGTCGGTTCCTGAGGCCATGCGCGGTGGTCGGTCGCACGCGGATCCACGGTGGACGAAGCTTCGGACTCGAAGCTCCTACGGCGGCGAGGTCGCGGGACTGCGCGTCTGTCCTGGGCCTATGCGCGACCGCCGGGACCCATCGAGTCTCAGTCAGCGGGTGTCGCGGTGCCGATATGTTGGATAGCATCCGCTCCACATTTTTGAATGTGGCACATAGTCCCGTTTCAGGGTAACCTTGCATCCAAGCGGCAACCATTTCAGCGTAGCGCTCGTGAGTCTTACCTTTTTCAGAAGCCACCAGCGCCTGTCCATGCGGATCGGGTATTTGTCTGACACTTGCGGTGCCCAGCATTTGTAAAGCAGCTCGTTGCGTGGTCAAGCGGGCGCCTTCTGTGTGTCGCAGAGCCCAGATGAATGTAAGTTGCCCTGTTGGCGAGATCAACGCGACGGCGCTTGTGTCTGCCGGTCGCGTAACTAGGGCCAGGAAGCGGAGCAAGTCTGAATTTGCTTATTCATGGCTTACGCCGCAAGTTCAAAATGACCATCCGTGATTATATCCGCTTACTTGCGCAACGCCGGGTGGTGTCAGGACCCGGCGGTCGCGCTCTAGCAGCAAGTTCTGTCCATGTTGGACGACCACGTTAATTCTCTGCATGTTACGCCCAATACATGGAAATGCGCGTACAACAGAAAGGAGCACACCTGCCCAACTCTCACGACTAATTCGCTGCGTGGGCAGTTTCTTTTGAATTGCGCCAGCCCGTGCCACCCAACTGTATCGGCAATTATAGCAGCCACGTAGTGTACTGAGCACCGTGGGCAGAGGCGTTCCATGCAGTCCGATCCCGAACCGTGGAAAATTGTATGGATGATTGGCGACCAAAGCAGCACGGAGGATTCCGGCTACGGGCATAAGGTGGTTGTCGGCAAGAGGCGGTTGATTCGTAGCACCGCGCAGCAAGTAAGTAAAATTCCCAATCGGGTTGCCTTCAGCCAGCGTGGCTTTAAAATGTTGGATAAAATCAAATCGTATTTCCCCATGGGGGCACCCGCGCGTACCCTACAAAAGTTGGGTTTCGCCATGTCCCGTCTTCTTCAAAAATCAAATCGTTTGCGTTGGTGTTGCATTTGTTTGCCATTGTTTTGTTTGAGTTAGTCTCCGTCGGCCAGATGGTGCCGCCGCTCCTTGGTGGCATTGCGCACGCACATATCAAGAATGTGTGTGTGTTCCTATTGCGTTTGTTATACAGAATGGGCCTGTGAATTCTTGATATTACGCGTATCCCACCAGCCCCGTTACGGGTCGCAACGGATTACATTATCGAACGCTGGTCTCCGTTATTGAACGCAGCGGTTTCTTATTATTTGCGACATTGGCTTCCATTGGCGACAGTGGTTTTCCACGGCTGATGACACACACTTCCATGATTGATGATACGGAATTCTTCACGCTTCGCGTATCCCCACCAGCCCATCTCAAAACAGCAACTCTTGCGAAGCATGCCGACAGTCGTGTTGTTCAGGCGTGTTTCCGCCTGCCCCCGCATATCTCCCCTGTTCCTCCTTCCTCCCGCCTCCTTGTACATCCTCCTTGTGGTGGGAGCGGGAGAAGGACGAGGCGGAGGAGGAGGGAGAGAAAACGCTCCTCGTGGTTTGAGTCGTTCGGGCTTCTCGTCCTGGTGCGAGTCGTTCGGGCTTCTCGTGGTGTGAGTTGTTCGTGCCCCTCGTCCTGGTGTGAGTCGTTCGGGCTCTTCGTGGTATGAGTCGTTCGGGCTCTTCGTCCTGGTGCGAGTCGTTCGGGCTTCTCGTGGTGTGAGTTGTTCGTGCCCCTCGTCCTGGTGTGAGTCGTTCGGGCCCCTCCTCCTGCCCGTCCAGAAACGACGCCCAGGCGAGTAGAGGGTCGTCCTGATGGGTTTTTCGGCGTCTTGGGTGCCTCGGGGAGGCCTCTTTGGGCAGTTTGGGATCCTCTTGGGGGCTTCCTGGGGGCCTCTTGGGGCCATATTGGGGCCTCTTGGTGCCTCATGTGCGCTTCTTGGGGCCATCTTGGAGGAAATCGATCAAAGAAGAGGGGAGCTTTAATTAGCGCTGCCCCCTCAGAAGGCCAAAATGTGGCCAAAACCTTGGTAAAATCAATGATTTTGGCTTGAAAGAAGAGGGGAGCTTTAATTAGCGTTGCCCCCTGGGAAGGCCAAAATGGGGGCAAAACCGTAGTACAATCAATGATTTT